GCATCATTCCACTGGCGCATGCATGCGTTGATTGAATTGATTGAAATTAATTTTGAAATTAATTTTGAATGTAATCTCAGATTTAAATACCAAATTCAATTCGAATTGAAAATTAAATATGAATTAAATTCAAATTCCATTCAATTCAAAGCTAAATTAAATTTAAGTTGAATTTAAATCAAATTTAAATTAAATTTATAGTAAATGAGATTGAACTGAAATTAAAAATGAAATGAAATGTACTCAAGTGGATTTAAATTAAACGAAAAGAAATGAAATGAAATCAAATTAAATTAAGCTAAGTTAAATCAAATCAAATCAAATCAAATCAAATCAAATTAGATTAAATTAAATTAAACTGAATTAAATTAAATTGAATTCATCTAAATTAAATTAATTTAAATTAAATTAAATTGAATTAAATTAAATTAAATTAAATTAAATTAAATTAAATTAAATTTAATTTAATTTAATTTAATTAAATAAATTAAATTAATTTCTTTTTCTCACCCAAATCGCAAATGCGCACAAGAGGTTCTCCGTCTTCGTTTTCGTCGATCTGCAAAAGTGGAAATAAGCTAAGTTGCTTTTATTTATTTCTAAACGATTTATTTGAATTATTTACTTATTTATTTATTTATGTATTTATTTAATTTGTTATTTGAATTCGATTTAATTAATTGTTTATTTGAACTTGAATTGAAGAAAAAAGGCGAAGAAAAGATTGAAAATGCAATATGTGCAGCAAAACATGAATTGAAACAATTGATTATTTGAAGTTGAATTAAAGATAAAAATGCGAACAAAAGGAATTGGAATGCAATTTTGAACGCCTAAGACGAATTTAAATGAATTAGTTGATTATTTGAAGTTAAATTTGAGACAAAAATGAGAAGAAAAGGGATTATTTGAGCATAAAACGAAGAAAAAAGAATAAAAAGAATACAAATTGCAATTTCGAATTCACCAAAACATTCTCGGGCTTCAAATCCCGGTGAATTATTCCGCGGGAATGAAGAGCCGCAACTCCCTCAATTATCTGCCGGGCGATCGACTTTATGTTCGGAATCGCGCTGCTGCTGCTGCTGCTGCTGCTGCTGCTGCTGCTGCTGGAGGTGTGTGGGAAAGCTTGCTGGGAAGGGGGGCCTGGCGCTGTTCTTTGGCGCGCCTGGCGGTGTCTTGTCAAAAAGAGCTGCAAAGAAGAGCCCAGGAGTTCCATCAAGATGTTCTGGACGGTGAAGCCCCCGGGGGTGGTGCTGTAGAAGACCGAGTCCGCAGCCACCAGCGCGCCCGATCCTCTGCATTCCTCGAGACAAATTGCTTCTCTGGAAGCAATTTTAGTCCACTTTTGAGTTCTTTTCAAAGCCAGGCGCCTGCCGGAGGACTTTTCCACCACCAAATAGACCCGCCCGAAGGTGCCCTGGCCCAGTAGCCGCTGCACTTGAAACCGGGGCGGACGGAAAGCGCTGCTGCTCTCGGGAAACGCCGCCATCTCCGACTGAACCGGAAACAATGAATAAAATGAAAAGTAGTTGCAGAAGTTAAACACTTGAAATCGCAAAGGGATTTCAAGTGGAAGTGGGAGGATCCAGCTGAGGAAGCGCCAGTTCAACGAGGATCAGCTTCGCGAGCTCGAGGTGTATCTGCAGGGTAGCCGAGAGAAACTTGCAAAATTGGAATTAATTGTTTTATTTCGAAATCAGAAAAGTAGTTCTTTTCTCTTTTGTAACGGCAATAATAACAAAGTAATTGTTTCTTTTTGCGGGATAATTCTTCTTGTACGGCACAGAAGTGGCGAAGACAGAAATGCAAAACGCTCCCACTACGTAGAGTTCGTTCAATGACTCATTTTGCCCCTCTTTTTATTCGGATTTACTCTTTTACTTTTACATTTAAATGAAAATAATAAAGAGGAAAAATTTAAATCCTTTTGCGCCTTAATTCGTGCTTTGACTCCCATTTGGTGTGGAAAACGGGATGAGCCGGCAGCTCCACTCGCTGCAGAAGAATGGCAGTCGTATTTGCAAATTACAGAAGATGCAAACGCGTCTTGAGTTGAACTTTATAATTCAAAAAGAAATAAATAAAGTTTTCAAAATTTGAAATTGTTTTCACTCCAAAAACATTTCAAACAAAAACTTGAGTTGCAGATTCAACAGAGATCACCCCAGAACCAGTCCTGGCTGGTGCACGGCCTCCGTCTCGCGCTCTCAGCCTTCTTAAATGAATGAACGAAAATAGATTTTTAATTTTAATTTCAATTTTAAATATAATTTAAAATTTTATTTCAAATTGAAAATAAAATTGAATTCAAATTCTCGTTTAAACCCGCTTAAAGACCGGCGACAGGGCAGTCTGCCGCTGCTCGTGGATCTTCTCTCCACTTTTCCAGTTTAAATAATTCGTTTTTTAAGCTTTTCACAAAATAAATAAAAATAAAATACTTTTTTCCTTCACTTTTGCTTAACTTTAAAAGATTCTGTGCAGCTTTTTGCCAATTTTTAATCGGGTGAAATGTGAATTTGCAAATACACTTCAACTCGCGAAACTCTTCACTAAATCCAATTAAAACTAATTCAAATGAATTAAATGGCCTTAAAAATATTTTTTAATTTGAATTAAATGGCCTTTGGTATATCTTTTAATTTGAATAAAATGGCCTTAACGTATCTTTTAATTTGAATTAAATGGCCTTAATATATCTTTCAATTTGAATAACATGGCCTTAATATTACGTTTAAATTTGAATTAAATGGTCTTTAGAATATCTTTAATTCGAATTAAATTAATATGGCTTTCGGCACATCCTTTAGTTTGAATAAAGTGGTCTTCGGAATATCTTTTAATCAGCAAAGACATTATTTTTCGTAAGTTGAAAACCTTTTATTCTTTGCCTATTTAGCAGCAAAGTAGAGCAGCAGCTAAAGAAGCAAAAGGGGATTTTAAGAATAAAATTTGCAAATTTGCAAATTTGCAAATTTGCAAATTTGAATTTTGAATTTCAAATAAAGTTCAAGTCCGTGTTTCGACGAAACGCTGACTCCAGTCAGCCCTGGGGAAGTAAAACCAGTGAAGAAATAAAAATAAATAAATAGATAATTTATTTATTTATTTATTTATTACCTTTAATAAACAAAAGCAAGGCTGTGCAAGTGCAAGCCGCCGAGCTGTACAGTGCAAACATGTTCCGGCCACTGCCAAATGAGGGAAACTGCGCGGAAATTAAAGACTTTGAAAGTCTTTTGTTCATTTTTTGATTTAATTTAATAAAATGGACATAAAGAATATTTATTTTTCCTCTTCATGCCAATATAAACGGCAAATCAACAGATTTCAAGTCCCGAATGCTCGCGCGAAACGAAACCCGCATGCATTCAAGTTTCCACCTTTTGCAAATCTTTTGAACTAATTCAATTGGGCTGGATGAGACAAAGCTTTCACTTAACAAATGCACCAGCCCGCACTTCACTATTTATTTATTATTTATTTATTTATTCATTTATTTAATTTATTTCATGTTTATACCTGTGTGGCTGCTGCCTTATTTCAAATACGGGAAAGCAGAGCTGCTGAAATGGCTTCATGAATGAGTGCAAGTGCCTGTGCCTTCCCAGTGCACACAAATACAAATTAAAAGTTCATTTATAATTTATTTGGATTTATTTCGCTTTTTAAAGTTCACAAATTATCTCTTTGCATGCATTTGCACACACTGAGCGATACAGGCACTTCTGCTTTCCGTTTCTCGCACTGGTTACTTCTGCACGTATTTGCACTCCTTTTTAGACATATATTCACGTAAAAATATTAAATGTATAAAAGAACACATAAATAAATACAAAAAAGTGAAAATAAACGCATTTGTGCCATATATCAACGCCCATGCTGTCAGCGCCTCTGTCTTTGCTTGCTGTTCGCAGCAGCCGGAAGCTGGGGGGAAACTTGAAGTCTTTTTGTTGAACTTGTTTGTCTTTTTGCCGAACTTTTTTCTTGAATTTGTTTAATAAGTCTTTTAATTTAATAATTAAATGCACTTAGTGATTCATTTTCTTCTTAACTTCCTCGCCGCCGTCCACTGGCAGGAAACTGGCCTCGACAGCCTCCAAAATTTCGGGCGGCGGCTGAGCGAAAACCAAAAACAAGAAACACCAATTTGAATATTTTCTTTTTAAATTAAATTATTTAAAGAATTATTTGAATATTTATTTAGTCAATAATGTAACTCTTTGTTTGGCTCTTCGCTCATTTGTAGATTCTTTGTTTGTTCATTTGTTTGAATGGTCTAGTTCGATGAATTTGCAAGTTTCGATTTGCAGCTTCCACTTTATTTCACTTTTTAAACGGAGATATTTGTTTCTACTTCAATAATCAAAAAATTCTAAATGCGAAAAGTTCCTTCTTGCATATTTTTAGAACTCTTCAGATACTGAAAATATATTGCAGTGTTACTGCTGCGACTGCTGCTGCTGCTGCTGCTGCTGTTGTTGCTGCTGCACAAAAGCGAACAGCGCGAGCTCAACTTCGTCAAACCCTAAACCCTAAATCCTAAACCCTAAACCCTAAACCCTAAACCCTAGAACTCACTTTTTCTTGCATCCAAGTTGGCTCTGGCAGCGAGAGAGATCGCAGGAATTGAGGGTTCCACTGTTTCTGTGCATACAGATGTCCTGAAGAGAAACAGCAAGCGAAGCAAAGAAGTTTAAAAAAAGATTAAAAGGGGAATTAAATAATTCACTTATTTTTTATCAAAAGATTAAAAATAAATGAATTATTTCAAATATTAAAACTTCTGTAACTTTTGTAGCTTTTAAATGGCCAACAATCTGTGCAAACTTTGAGTGCCACTAAAAGACCGAGGGTTTGAAGTTCAAGGTTTTCTTTTGTTTATTTCTGCATATTTTACTTTGAAGTTTTTGTTTGTATTTTAAATTGATTTATTATTCTTCGAAAGCTTCACTGACACCGCAGGGTACTTGTTAAGACTTGCAAACACTTAACTCTTTCAACTGCATCTCTTCAAATTGAACTGATGGACTTTTAATTTTATTTTGTTTCTTTTGCTTTATTTAATTGTCTTTTTAGAATTTATTTGCTGAGTCAGCTTCAGCCATTTATTTTGCGGGACATAACAAGGCAATTCGCCCGTTTCTATGTAGCTGCTGCAGACTTGAGTGAGAGCGGGTGTTATATGATTACACAAATACATAAATGGAAATAACTCTTTTCATTTTAAACAAAAACCAGCAAAAATGGGTATACTAGTTCGTTTTATTTTTGCGCATCTACTCCTCTAAAAATAATTAAATTTCGCTAATTAGAAATTCCAAAAATCAACTTTTTGTCTCACCGTAATCGCACAGCATCGTCACTATGGTGTGCTGGGGCCCCAGCGCCTTGCCCAGCCGCACCGCCCCCGCGACGTTCACGCCGGAAGTCATTCCCAGGGGGAGGCCTTCCTGCGGGGAAACAAACCAAGAATTGAATAAATAAACGAATTAAATAATTAATTTATCATTTAGAAAACAAATTGCCTTCAAATAAAGAAAAATGGCCGCAAATTGGCCGCGGATTCCCCACTCAACGATAGAATGCAGCCAGTAGGCTAAACTGCGAAGTGGCTGGACTAATTCAACTCTATTCTTGAAGTTCAACCAATTTAATTGAATCCATTAAACTAAATAAACAAACAAAATCAAAAATTGAATTTGTTGAATTAATTTGTGCAGCTTTCTCGGTTGGGATGAACTCCGCAGAACAACGAACAACTCCCTTGAAAGACTATTCAAGAAAAAATAATTTGAATTGAAATTTGGAATTTCACAAGTCCACAGAAACTCTTTGAAATTAAAATTAAGTAAAACACTGCGAGGAGTTATTTCATTTAATTTTATAAATTAAAATTGATTGCAAGTTTCTAATTAATAGTATCAATTCAATTTGGTTTTCCTTACCCGCGCCAGTTTCATTCAAGAACTGGAAACAAATAGAGCCTCAAGTATATTCAACAAAATCCCAAATTAATAATAATAATAATAATAATAATAATAATAATAATGATAATAATAATAATAGTAATAATAATAATAATAATAATACTACTAATAATAATAATAATTATTATTATTATACTTTATTCTTACTTCTTGCAGCAATCTGTGGGTCCAATGCAAAACCTCTTGATCTTTTATTTCGCAAGAGAAGTCCGGGTAGAAACCCTCGAGGTTTCCAGTGACTCGGTGCTGGCCTGATCAAGAAACCGCGGAGAACAATCATTAAAAGGAAATAAAAGTTCTTTTTTAGAATATTAATTCGAAAAAAGGAATAAAATAAAACAATCTTAAAGATATTTGACCGGCGAAAGCAGTCTTTGAGTGCAAATGGAAGTTCTGCTGGACACTTTGGATTGGGCACGAGCCTTGCGGCTCCTGCACTAGGGTTTAGGGTTTAGGGTTTAGGGTTTACCGATGTTTTCGACAATAGAAGTTCCTTCTGTTTGCATTTCTCCCTTGGTGAAATAACGAAACAAAGCAGCCCCCGAAACATCCGCCAAACCAATCACGGGGCCCCCATCAGCTAAAACCCTTTTAAGCCTTTCCCTCAAACCCTCAGAGGGGCCCCCCTGAGTAAGGGGGCCCCCCGGGGGGCCCCCCCGCGTGGGGCCCCCAGAAAGGGGGCCCCCTGAGGGGCCCCCATAGAGAGGGCCGTCTGCGGGGGGGCCCCTGGGGTCTGCTGCTGTTTGCATTTGCACATCAGTGAGGGCCAGTTTCTCTTTTCTGTTGGAGTTAAGATGTTTGAGGATTTGTTCCATAGTGATGGGTGTTTGGCCGCTGCTGCTGCTGCTGCTGCTGCTGCTGCGGTCGTTTGCTGCTTCTTCTGAAATGAAATGGTTCTCCTTTTGGTCTCTCGCGAGCTGCAAGTGCCGATTCAAACGCAGACGTGTAGATACACCTGTTACTGTGCCTCCAGTTCCCGCGGCGCAAATGAAACCATCCAGATCTCCATTTGTTTGTTCCCTGAACGCAAACATGGACTTCTTGCATTTCCGAACTTTTCCCCTCTTTGCATGCGCTTTTACCCTCTTATAAGCTCTCGTTTTGTCCAAACATAGAAAACAAAACATAGAAGAAATCAACAAGTGGAAAAAAGATTCAAAAAGAGCTCTTGGGGCATAGTCTATTGAGCACAAATTCATGAAAATGGCACTTTTGAAATAGAAGGAAAGCAACGCAGCAAAAATATAATTCTATAATGAATTGCTATTAAATAATATTTCATTTAAATGGAAAAGAATTCGTTTGTGAAGTAAGAAGTGAATTTTATTTTATTTTGCAAAGTTTCACTTGCGCACCAAATCTCTTGTCCTGTGGTGTTGAAGTGGGCAAGGCGGTTCGCCTGAAGACAAAAAGCGGAAACTGTTTGCGTTTCCTTTATTTTTACTTTCTTATTTATTTATTTATTTATTTATTTTATTATTTATTTTTTTATTTTATTTTAAATAATTCAATTATTCAACAGTTTGGCGGGGAATATGCGGACAGTAGGGGCACGGAGAAGAAGAAACAAACATCGTGCGGCACCAAAAGGCTGAGACACTTGGGAAACAGAATCGATTAAAATAAAATAAAAATTGAAATAAAGTGAATTAAATAAAATGAAGCAAAAGAATAAACCAACAAGGGACTGAAGAAACAAAATTGCAATTGCAAAAAAGAGGAAACCGAAACACTTCCAGAAAAGCATAGCCAAATAAACGGCTCCGAAGTCTTCATTGGCTCTTCATAAAGTGCTTTTTACTAATTAAAATAAAAAATATATTTTCTTTAAATATATTTTATTCATAAATGGATATTAAATAAAAGTAAATGCATAGGACCTCCTCAGAAACTGAACAGGGAAATGAACAGCAAAGTAAGCATGAGCGAATATAAAGGCAAAGAAAGAGAAAATTCAAATAAAAACAAACAAACAAATAAATACAAATTAAATGCGTGAAACTAATTTCTGAAAGGAACAAAAAGAATAAACGAAACAAAATGGAGAAAAAGCTGGACAAAGAAGTGAACATAAGCAAACTTGCATGCAAAGAAGTGCAAAATGGAGCAAAAGAAGCACATTAAAAGCTGTTCTCACCGTATTATCAAACTGGCCAATAAAATGTCCATTTATATTCTCTGCCAATCTTTTGGCAATTTTGTTGTAGTGATTAATGTGGGAAACTTCTTGAAAAGGAACAGGCACAACGACTGCGCCCAGCGTCCGCAGCAGCCGCTGCAGGCAGCAAACTTCAACAATGAACCAAATAATCGGCAAATTGGGAAAAATAAAAACAAAAAGCATTTAAATAAAGAAATAAAATACTTTGAACGCATTTTAAACGACAAAAGGAGCTCTTTCGGGCGGCTGCAAGGGAAAAGAAAGCAGAAGATGCGCGTAGTTGGCGAGGAAAGCTGCGAAAAAGCGGATTCAATTCGAAATAAAAACGAATAATTAGTTTCGAAGTGTTATTTACTTTCTTTTCCTCCGTTTGGGTGTCCGGCATTACACAAATGACTCTGTAGTTCTTCTCCTTCGCTGCGAGCGTGAGAGCAATGGCGGTGTTTCCAGCAGAGGCCTCGACTATCCACCCGCCGGGAGAAATGGCTCCTAAATTGACAAATAATGAAAAATAAAACAAACGAAATAAATGAAATAAATAAAATGGTAATATGAACGAAATAAATAAGATAAACTCCCAGTTCATGCAGTCAATTGAGAGGAAATGCAAAAATTTTCGTGTCAGTGAGGCAAATGGATGAGAAATGCAGGAAGGCACATTGGGGACTTCAAATGAGAACAAAACCCAAACAACAGGATATTTATTTTAAAAAATGAATAAATAAATTAGAAATGAAAAATAGACGCAAATATTAATTGATCTGAATATGTGGAAGCAGAAAAACAAATAAAAGCAAATAATGCGATTGGCGCAGCAACAGATCTGTTCAGCTTTTGTGCAGCAGCAAACGGAGAGGATAAAAGCGTAAAAAGAAATGAAAAAAAATAAATTAAATTAGATAAAGAAAATAAACAGAACAAATGCAAGGAAACACAAGGATGTAATAATGGATGCAAATATATGCACGCATTTGACCTCTTCAGTCGAGGTGCAAAGCGGCAAAAACTAACTCCCTAATGAGTCAATTAATGAATTAATTTGAACTAAATTAAAAAATAAAAATGATTCTAATTAGAAGAACTGCAGCTGAATTGGTGGAAATTATCAGAAGATTCCTTCTGCTGCTTCCTTCTGCTGCAGCAGCAGTTGAAAGAACACAGCAAAAGATGCAGCAAAACAGCAGCAGCAAAGTCAATTGTTTGGGTCAGAAACAGCAGCAGGAGTGCAACAAAGACTAATAATAATAATAATAGGATTTATAATAACAAAAAGAATAATAAGTAAATGCAAAAAGGGAAATAAAAGCATTAATTGCAGGAGCAAGAGCAACAGCGTGCAGAAGTAGCAAAGGAAAGCACAGCAAAACAAATGCAATCAGAACAATTAGAAGGCCATTTAAAAACCAAATGGGTTTAATTTAATTAATATCGCAAAATAAAGGAAGGAATGCAGCAGCAGCAGCAGCAAAGCTGCACGAACTTGCCTCGTTCTTCCGCCAACGTCAGCATGTTGACTGCCGGCCTGTCTTTGACGGAACCTCCAGGATTAAGAAATTCGCATTTGCCCCAAATGGAGCAGTTGGCTTCTTTGGAAGCTGCTTTCAACTTGAGAAGAGGGGTGTTGCCGACGGCTTGGCGAAAGCCCTCGTAGACCCGCAGCCGCGGGAGGGTGGAAAAGCCAGACATTTGGCGGTTTAAAGAAGGAAAAGAAGAAACAGATGTTACGGGAAAAGACTTTGAAGAGAATATGTCGCGAAGACGGGAAGAAACAGCAGCTCGGAAGGCGCGCACCGCGCTGCGGGTTTCACTGAAACATGAAAACTTGAATTGGGAAAGCGGGACGATTTGCTGCGAATTTGACCCGTAACCGCAATAATAATACCTCTATGAAAAGAGCTTTTATTCTCTTTTTCTATTTATTGAAGTTTTAAGAGAAACCTGACGGGTTTTGGGCGGAGATCGGCAGCTGCCACAGTTTGCGAACTATCTGCTGAGACCGCTGCTGCAGTCAGTGAGCGCCAGGGCCAGGAAAGCGATAAAACTCGGAAATCCGAAAATGAAATAAAGCAAATATACTTTTGGGACTAATTTATAATGTTGTAGAAGTGGAAGGACGAAAAAAGAAGGAGGAAATGCCGAAGTCGAGGGGGGTGACGACTCATCAGGCGGCGACAGCCAGACAGCTGCGCCGGTGTTGGACTTCTGCAGGAAAACACGGGAATAAACCGAATAGATCTTCACTTTATTTCTTTTTTTAGTTATTTACTTTTTATTTTTCCCATTTTAATTAATGTCTGAGGCGCAGCAGCTCGCTTTCCAGCTGCTTACCACCCGTGCAGCCACGGGGCTCCACTGCTGGTGCTGCTGCTGTGCTGCTGCTGCAGTGCATGCAGCAGCAAGAGGTGGAATACAACAATGTTAGAAGTTAAATTCAGTTTTAAATTCATTTTTATTTAATTTCTCTTTTTTTCCCATCTCGAGTGCCCCCGGAGCTGCTTCTTTTCTTTGCTGCTGCTGCAGCTGCTAGGCTGGTCTGATCTCGCTGCTGCTGCATGCGGAGCAGCAGCAACTCTTTAAACTCTAATCTCTTTATTTAAATTCTAAAATTTATTTTTTGAATTTATTTTCACTTCAAAGTCTCGCAGCTTCTCCCGCTGCCTCCCGTGGCAGCCCGCGAGCCGCTTTCTCCGCTTCCTCTCGCTCCCAGACCCGAAACCCTAAACCCTAAACCATAAACCCTAAACCCTTTTCCAAATGGCCTAGAGAACAGGACTTAGCCGCTAAAATGGAACTCGAGGAAATCATCAAACCCTACACTCTAGCCCCGGAGCCGCCGAAGCGGCCGGGGGCGGAGGCAGGCCCTGCAGCAAAGCGGCATTTGGGGGACACAGCAGCAGCAGCAGCAGCAGCAGCAGCAGGAGGTGCAGCAGCAGCTGCTGCTGCTGAAGCCGGGGGGGCCCTCGGGGGCAACACAGGAAAACTGTCTTTAGAAGATCTGCCAGATGAAATTGACGCCAATGCCGTTGAGAAGATCCTGGAGCAAGCTGATGAGGTGAGGTGTACGTACACCCCAACTTGGCTGCAAGCAGCGCAGACGGCGCGGGAGGAGAGCTGCAGACTTTCCCTCATTTCTGCATTTAAAAGAGAATAAACTGTACTTGGACTTGTTCTTTTCAATAAAATATTATTATTGAATGCATAAATGATAAATGCAGGTACATTTCCACATTTATCCGATGGAGATGACAGGTCTGATTTTGCAAAGAGGAGGGGCGTGAGCCCCCGCGAGTCTTTCTTCCTTAAACTGTTTTATTTATTTCACAATAAGAGATATTTTAATAATATAAATGTCTGTTTATTTATATATTTCAGAATTGGTGCCTCTCCGCAAACGAGAACGAGTAACACTGCGGGCGTACCTTCAGGTGTACATACACCTTCCACAGACACTGTGCACGCGCAAATAAATGAAAATAAAACACTTTTGCAATTAAATGAATGCGTTTTACTTTTTCTTTGAATCTGAATACATATTTTTTCCTTTTTTGGAAGGACTGCAATGAAAAAACGTTGAAAAATAAAAAATTTGAATTATGTGATACGAGAAGCTGAAAAAATATCTCGCTGCTCCCCGATCTGATTTCCCCGTATGCTGTGTCTGCTCTTGTTTATTTTATTTCGTATATTTTATTTTTTTAATTCAATTTGTTTATTGAATTTAATCTATTCGAATTTTATTTTATTTTGGCTGCAGATGCACGTCGAGGAAATCACAGAGGCCTCCATTAAGCGCTGCGCTGCTCAGCTCGAAAGGAGAATTAAAAAAAATCAACACGATAGAATCAAATTCGCAAACAATCCCGAAAAGTAAGCAGCTATTTAGCTAGCTACCTGGCTAGCTATTTAGCTAGCTAGCTGGCTAGCTATTGGTAGCTAGCTAGCTAGCTAGCTAGCTAGCTTTTTAGCTGGCTAGCTATTTAGCTAGCTAGCCACCTATTTATCTAGCCAACTGCCTAGTTATTTAGCTAGCTAGCTAGCTAGCTAGCTAGCTAGATATTTAGCTAGCTAGATACCTATCTAGCTAGCTAGCCAGTTCCTTAGCTAGCTAGCTAGCTACTTAGCTAGCTAGCCAGCTGCTCAGCTAGCTAGCGAGCTAAGTAGCTGCGTCGATTGGCCAGCTCGATAGTTGCTTGGCAGATAGCTTTTTGAATCAGATCCTCGCTAGCTGGCCAACCCCTCAGCTAGCTAGCTAGTTAGCTAGTTAGCTAGCTAGCTGGCTAGCTTGCTGCCAAGTGCATCCAGCTTGCTAGCTGGCTAGCTAGCTAGCTAGCTAGCTAGCTGGATGGATTAGGTATCTAGTTAGCTGCTTAATCAGTCCCGCTGCACCTAGCTAGCTAGTCAGCTACTAGCTAGCTAGCCGAGCAGGCAGCTAGCTACAGCTAGCTACAGCTAGCTACAGCTAGCTACAGCTAGCTACGCAGTCGATGAGCTCTTCAGCTTTTAACGGATTAGTTTGTTTGTCTTTTTGTTCGCCAGTAAACCCTTGAGTGTATTCAAGTAGAATTTGCAAAAGAAGAATTCCAGTTCTTAGAGACTCAGGTCTCGAGGGCTTAGGGTTTAGGGTTTAGGGTTTAGGGTTTGGGGTTTAATAAGAGCTGGGTACTAGGGAGCATATTAGTGAGCATAGAGTTTAGGGCCCAAGGCTTTGAGTTTTGGATTTAGCTGAGCTTGCTAGCACATCTATGAACCCAGAGTTTAGGGTTTAGGGTTTAGGGTTTAGGGTTTGGAGGTTTGCGCGTAGGTGGATAAAGTCGGAGGTGGACTTGGACGAGGAGCTGAAGCGATGGTCGCAGGTGGCGGCTTCTCCGAGTTTATTTCCGCAAATGTTTGAAAATGGAGTTTTTGATTTATTAGTTTCTCTTTTGTCGCATGCAAACACAGACTTAGCTGTCGATACAGCCGAAGTGCTCACGGAACTCACCGAGGCCGACACCGTCATGGAGGCGCCGGACCCCGAGGGGGTGGTGGGCCAGTTGGTGGGTCCACGGGCGAGATTTCCCGCAACAAATGCCATTTAAATGCCATTTAAATGCCATTTAAATGCCATTTTATTGTTATTAAAACTCTTTAAAGTCCGCTTTCGTTTGCTGCGCTCGGAGGCGCGGAAAGCGCAAAACGCCGCGGAAATTCAGAAATTCAGAAACAGATTTTCAAGAATTCTGTTTCTGCTTCTTTCAAACCAAAAAGACTCTTTTCTGCGCCAATCTTTCGCTTTTATTTTTTTTTGATTTTATTTTAATTTGCAAAAAAAAATTTTCGAATTTCCTTTTTTTCTGCTTTGTGCAGATGGGAAGCCACTTGCCCGAAATGGTGGTGGATCTTTTGTGCCGCCTCAAAGAAGGTAAGCGCGCCAAAAAGGAAATTCAAAGAATTAAATTCAAAAGAAATAAATCAAATTGTAAATTAAATTATAAATTAAATTATAAATTAAATTATAAATAATGAAACTCCAATCAATAAATGCGCTGAACAAACATTCAAAAAACGCCAGGAGCAGCCGGTACACCCTTCCAAAGAACCCCCAAAACTGCAAAATAAATAAATAAATAAATACGTAAACAAACAAATAAATAAATGACTAAATAAATAAATAAATAAGTAAATAAATGAATAAGCGAATAAATACTAAACAGCAAATAAATGCAAAAATGGATGATATAATGGCATTCTTTTTGCCTCAGATGGAGGAGAAGACGACGCGCTGGGCATCAGCAGCTGCCTAACTGTAATAGAAAACTTAATTGAATTAAATCCTTCTTTATCTTTAACACTAACTCAGTCTCAGAAGCTTCCGGCGTTTCTATTTCGCCGGATCCGGGGCCCCCCGGGGGCCCCGGGGGCCCCCGGGGCAGCAGCAGCAGCAGGGGGCCCCCCGGGGGCCCCCGGGGGCCCCCCGGCTGCTGCGAACGGGTTTGTTGTAGACGGGGCCCGGCTGCATGCAGCAGAAGTGCTCACGCTGCTGCTGCAGCACTTGGGGGCCCCCGAAAAGGCCCAAATAGGAGGCAGAAATGGGGCAGATGGAGTTGACAAGTTGCTGCGGGCCATCGCGCCTTACCGGAAGAAAGACCCGGAGAGTTCGCAAGAGGTTCGAAAGGGTGGGGTTGTTGTTATTGGCGGGGGTGCAGCTGTTTCGGCCATTTTTCGCGCTTTTTCTCCGTTTTTTCCCCACTTTTGGTCTTCTTTTTGTTTTTTTGTTTCTTTCTTTCTTTTTTATTCTTTTTTTCCCATTTATTTCCCTTTTATTTCCTTTTTTCCCCTTTTTTTCCTTTTGTTTGCTCCTTTTTTCCCGTTTTCCACACTTGGCTCCTTTTGGCCTTTCCCGGTTTCCTTTGCCTAGGAAGAACTCGTCCTCAACTTGTTCGACTCCCTCTGCAGTTTGCTCCTAGTGTGAGACAAACCCTAAACCCTAAACCCTAAACCCTAAACCCTAGTTTTTAAACCCTAAGCCCTAAACCCTAAGTTCTGAAGCGTTGAGATGCAGCAGCTTTTTGAAGTATTTTGGGGACATTTTAGGCAGCATTTGCTCAACCCCAAACCCTTCGTTCCCTAAACCCTAAACCCTAAACCCTAATTCGTGGTTTGGCTGCAGGGAGTCCAACAGGGAATTGCTGGGCAAGCAGCAAGGGGTGGAGCTGATGCTTAGGATTATAAAAGAGAGGCGGTGAGTGCTACAGCAGGTGCTGCAGCAAGTGCTGCAGCAACTAGTTCTTGTATAATTAATTAACCCATAAGTAATATTTTAATTATTTATTTTACAAATTTTATTTTTTTAAAAATTACTTCATAGCTGCTCAGTCAACCAGAGTCAAATGAAATAAGTGTATTTCATTTAAAGCGGCTTCCGCTGCAGCAGCTGCAGCAACAGCAGCAGCAGCAACAGCAGCTGCAGCAGCAGCAGCAGCAAATATCAAGAAGAAAATTGAGAAACAGCAGCAAGTAATGTTGTTTAACGTGTCGATTTGTTTGTTTTTGAATGTTCCGTCGCGCTACCAACTTGAAAATGCTCTAGGACGCCTGCTGCTGCTGCTGCTGCTGCTGCTGCTGCTGCAGGCACTTCACGCCCCAGGCCGTGAAGGCCCTGGACTTCGCACTGATGGACTCCGCGTACAACTGCAACACTTTTGTAGAACGTTTGGGACTTCGATTTCTTTTTTCGATGTTTTTGGGAAAAGAAAAAGATCCAAAAAAGAAACAAAAGACAAATGACGAGCTCACAGGCAAGTGCTTTTCAAAAAAGAAAAAAAGAAAAGAACTTCTTTTTGCTTTCAAAAGAAAAGAAATTATTTTTGTTCTTAATGCCGAGAGAGTTTTTGCCTGAGTGCTCTTTGTGTGTGGACACACTTGGGGTTTTACATTTAGCCAAATAACCAAACGGTGAACAAACACTAGCTAGCTAGCTAGCTAGCTAGCTGGCTAGCTAGCTAGCTAGCTGGCTAGCTGACTGGGTAGCGAGCTAGGTGGCGAGCTAAGCAGCTCAGCGACTAGCTAACTGGGTGGCTACTTGGCTAGCTAAATGGGTAGCTAGCTGGCTAGCTAGCTGGCTAACTAGCTAGCTGGGTAGCAAGAGCACTATAAATAGTGAAAATGAGAGAATGCAAGGGAATGAGAAGCTGACATGAAGTGCATAAGTGGGATTCGTTTTCACTCTTTGTTTTTGATGCAAATGGAGCTAAAGGTTGTTTATTAGAGACAATTATGAAATATAATTATTAATTAATCATTTTTAAATTCTTTTTGTTTTCCAATTTGTCCATTTGCTGCAGAACATATTGTGTCTTTGATAAATTCGCTTCTCAAGAACTGCACTGGGACCCCCATAGGCAAGTTTTGCTGCTTCTGCTTTTTGTTTCTTTTTCAAAATCCAATTTAATTCAATAAATCAATTAAAAATAAATGCTGAATCTTTTGACTGCATGAGTACTCAAACCAAATCTGCTGCTACTGCTGTTCCTGCTGCTGCTGCTGCTGGTGCTGTTAATTCTCGTGCGTTTGCTGCTGCAGTTTTACGTGTTTTTTGAGTTAATTCTTTTGATTGAATGTTTTCATTTGTCTTTGTATTTAATTAATTTAATGTTTTATTTATTCGGTGATTGGTTCATGTTTTCCGTGTTGGTCCAGTTCGGGCTCTTTGCAGCTTCTGAGTAGCAGAAGAAAAGAAAATGCGAAATAAATTGAAAATTAATAATAAAATGAAATTAAAAATAATATTTTGAAGAAGAAAACGCGAAATTAGACGGAGAGGACGCATGCAGTGATGCAGCAGCAAAGTGGAAACAGTTTGCCTGCAGCGAGGGTCTTGAACAAATTTCAAGAAAACCAATTCGAAAAAGTAGAAAGACTTCTCGAGCTGAGGGAAATCTATAAATCAAAAGTGCAAAAAATTAAAAAGAAACAAAACGTGGCGGAAGATCTCAAAGAAATCAACCAAGAGGTATTCGTTTTTCTGCAGGAAGTGCAGCTTGCGTGCACTGTTGCATTAAAACTGGCGAATAAACGAATAAATAAATGAATAAATGAAGTATTTAATAATAAATAATTCATAAACAGTAAATTAATCCATAATTTGTCATTTTTTGAGATGAAACTCAATTAATAAAAGAAACTTGTTCTCTAGGAAGTTCAATTCATCTTTTGTTTCTTTTGGGCAGGCGTTTGTTCCTGGTTGAATCTAAATGAATATCATTTTAAATAATTGATTATTTGATTTAATAAAACGTATTTAATAATTAATTGGTTATTTTCAATTCATGCATCTATTTTATTTGCTCATTTGTCTGTTTCCGACTGTTTCCTTCCGTCTGACTCTTTCCCGCTCACTCATGAATTGGTTTTTGAATTTATTTGGATTTAAATTTATTTAAATTTACTTAAATTTGTTCAAATTTATTTAAATTTGTTTTATTATTTTACTTTTAATTTATTTTTAATTGCAGATGGGAGTCAACTCGGAAGAAAGGCTTTACCTGGACGCCTGCGAAGCGGGCTTGTCCGTTTTGCAACAAGTTGACAGCATAATTGTTCGTTTGATAAACGCTGGCAACGCCCTGGTGGGCTTCTTAATTCAAATTCCGAATTAATTAATTGCAATTAATTATTTAATTCATTTATTAATTCATTTTGTGCTCATTTGTTTGTCTAATTTCGGTTTCTCGTCGAGTTCACTCGGCTTTCAGCCCATGGAGGCCTCTCTGCATATCTGTTGGTGAAAAATATTCTTTTTTTGCATTTTTCTTCTAGTTTCGTGCTAAAGTTTGCTATGTAAAAGCAATTATCTATATATAAAAGGATAAATAGACATATCGGTGATTTTAAATGCTTTTTATTCAAATTTTACGATTGGTTTCATGTTGAATTCTGCATGGCCATTCTTGTTTTGCAGCTTTTTTGTTCTTCTAAGTGCGACCTTTGGGAAACAGCTGCATTTGTTGTCAAGTCGAGTTATTTTATTTTTATTTTTATTTATTTGAGTATTTGCTCTTCTATTTTTGCTTACTTGATTTATTTTTTGATCTTTTGTTGCGAAGTTTCTGCTTCTTCCTTTGGTCTACAGTGCGCGATTTGCTGCTGCTAGCTTGTTCTTGCATTATTTCATTTCTTTTATTATTTTTTATTTATTTTAAATTCACTTTTAATTCTTCAGGTCCGTTTAAGGCTGATGGATTTGATGCGAATGAAGAGCATAGACACCGCAGATGTGGAGGCAGTGCTGGCAGGCAAGAAAAGAAGAAATAAATAAATTAAGAATGATAAGCAGCCAAATTGATTAAAAAGAAACAAATATATATAAGTAAAAGGGTTTAATAATTAAATATATAAAAGTTAAGAAACAAATAAATTGATTTAAGAGTAAAAGATGAGTAAAAGAAGACAAGGGCGAGTGAGCTGTGAGCTACCCATTTGTTCGTTCTTCTCCGGATCTTGGGTTGTTTCTTTTAAATTGCATTTATTTATTAATTACATTTCATTTATTAATTATATTTTAAATTTATTATTTGAATTTAATTCATTTCTTTGTGAATTCCCCTTTTTAGAATTTGCCGCACATATGGACGACGAGGCCACGGGCCCCAAAGAGGAAGTGGAAAGACTGATTTCAAATTTCAAGGAGGCGATGGAAGAAGAGGAGGAAGAAGAGGAAGAAGAAGAATAAAAAGAAAATAAATAAATAAATAAATACGTAAATAAATACAATTAAATAAAAATAAAAGAAAAAAGACAAATGACTTAGTTGACTTGCTGCGCGCAGGAAACGAAAGCATGCAGAACATGCAGCTAAATTCAAAACTTCTTTTTCTGCATTTGCAGAAATAAAAGAAATGAAAGCAATAAAAGGAAATAAAAGAAATAAAAGAAATAAAAGAAATAAAGGAAATAAATAACTTTATTTGTTTGTCATTTCTTTTCTTTTCAATTTCAACAAAAAGGAATCTTAGTTTCAAAAAGTCTTTTTCTCTGCAGCTCTTTTGACACTTCTGCTGCTTCTTTTTCCCAGAAGATCTCATTCTTAATAAATAAAAAGAAAAATTAATTGTTACTAATAAACAAAGAGAGTAGAAAAAATTAAGATGCGGGAAAGGCAAAGAAGCTGTTCAAGAACAATTAAATTCAAAAAGTCATCTATTAAAATTAAGAACATTTATTTTAAAACTCTCTAATTCTTTTAATTCAGTTTATCCTCCATTTCAAAAAGCTGCAAAGGTCCAAATCCATTTAATTCAAAATAAATTGATTGCAACTAAAGGCCCAGTTTCTCCAAAACTGAGCGAAATTAGAAAAAAGAAAAGAATTATATCACTTCAAATATTTATTTTAAAGACTAAAGGACAAATATACTTCTTTCAACACCCCTAACTCCAGAACTCTCTTAAATGGCTTTCTTTAGGGCCACCAGCATTTCCTACAGATCGTCAGGGGCCCCTAGGGGCCCCTGAGGGCCCTCTGGGCCCCCAGACGCCTTTCCCTGTTGCGGGGGCCCTAGGGCCCCCGCAACACTGTCGGGGCCCCACGATACCCTAAAGGGCCCCTCAAACCCTGGGGGACCCCCGATACTCTAGGGGCCCCCTGAGACTAAGGCCTCAGGGGTCCCTCAGGGGCCCCTAGGGGCCCCCCAGGGGCCCCCCAACGGGTTTCTAGGGGTCTCTAAGGGGCCCCCAAGGGGCCCCCCGGGGGCCCCCAAGGGGTCCTGATGGGCCTGTGAGGGCCCCTGGGGGCCCCTGGGGGGCCCCCCTGAATGGTCTTTGGGGAGTCTGCGAAGGACCCTCAAAAACTTTGAAGGCTTTTGGGGGCCCCCTAGAGCTTTGAGGGCCCTTCGGGGCCCCCGGGGCCCCTAAGGGCCCCTTAGTACCCTTTTGGCGTCACCTGAGTCGCTGGGAGTTTCAATTTGGTGCTTACGGGCGCCAGGGGCCCCTAAGGGGCCCCCCTTGGGGGCCCCCAAGGGGGGCCCAGGGCCCCCCTGGCTCTCTTTGTCTTTTCACTATTTGTTGTTTGGGGCAAATTGAGTATTACAATTCAAACAAAAATGCTATTTGAAGGGTAAACAAAACTAAAAGAAGACAAAGACAGTTTTAGACAGAGCCCAGACCCGAGTTTAGGGTTTAGGGTTTAGGTCTAGAGTCTACTGATCAATGAAACGCCAAGTAGATGCAGCACCGCCCCAAACCCTAAACCCTAAACCCTAAACCCTAGAAGAAAGAAAACCCTCGCCATGAGCCGCCAAATGGACTTTAGCTCACAAGTCCAAAAATCAAAAGAAAAAAACCCAACCCCGCTAATAATAATAATAGTAATAGTAATAATAATAAATAATAATTGCAATATTAAATTAACATTATTATTATTATTGTTACTATTATTATTATTATTATTATTACTTTAAATATTTTTTTAAATTATAAATGATTAAATAAATTAATTCCAAAAAGAAAACTAGCAGCTGATGAAATGGTCACCAGCAGCTTGCCCGCTGCGCCCCGCCAAACCCTAAACCCTAAACCCTAAACCCTAAACCCTAAACCCTGAGCGTCCTTAGCCGCGCCTGAGTCTGGCGCATTTGCGGCGTGGGGGCTGAGGAGAAGCGGAAGGGTTTAGGGTTTAGGGTTTAGAGTTTAGGGTTTAGCGATGCGTTGGCTTGTTTAGAATCTGTTTTATTTTTCTCAGCCTTTTCCCTCAATTGCCTGCAGCAAAAAAATGAAAATAATATAAAATGAATAAGTAAATGTTTCTTTCTAAATCAGTGAATTTGCCGACCGGCATCTAAAACCCTAATTTAGGGTTTAGGGTTTAGGGTTTATTAGGGTTTCGCTTTTCTTTTTGCCCACTTCAGAACTTTGCGGATATGAAGCAAATGGCGGCACTGAGACTGGGCCACTGCGAACTGCAGCAAAAGAAATAAAAAGACTTATTTGAAAATTCAAAAATTCAAAATTAAATATTTACCTTTTTTATTTTTGCATTTATTGCAATTAATTAATTAACCAGTTGATCCGCAAACTAATTAATTAATTAATTAATCAACCAAACAATTAGTTGCTTTACAAATAAATAATAAATAAATAAATAAATAAATAAATAAATAAATAAATAAATAAATAATAAACAAGTCAATTTATACCTGCCAGTAAGACTTCCCAGAAGTGAACATCGGCTGCACAGGGCCCATTCCTTCTGCTGCAGTTAAGGGCTCCGCAGAAGTGGGCATGGCAGCAGCAGCAGCAGCAGGAGCAGCAGCAGGATCTTTTGCTGCTGCTGCTGCTACTGCTGCTGCCATATACATCTTTTGGGTTCTTTCTAAAGAGGCGCGGCGCTGCCTGAAGACCTCCTCGGCCTGCAGCAACTCTTAAACCCTAAACCTCAAACCCTAAACCCTAAACCCTAAACCCTAAACCTCAAACCCTAAACCCTAAACCCTAAACCCTCAGTTTTTTCCAGAAAAGCTGCAGCACTGGGATATTCCCGTGCAAATTGATTCTTTTTTTCTGATTAGTAATTCTAAATGATCGGAAATTAAAAATTAAAAACAGTAATTGCGGAAATTTGCAAATTACTTTCTTAAATGCTTCTCTTTTGCTCATTCCTTCGTTCATGAACCGCAGCTGCTGCGCAACAAACTGCATGGCGGGGTGATCCGCCCGAAAAGTGTCCGATCCTGCATTAAAAACAAAAACATTTACTTGTTTAAAAATTAAATTAAAATTAATAAAATGAAACTTCTCCCACTGAATTTATCGGCTGAACTTCCCGGGTGACTTTCCACTGCATTTCAGGTGTACGTACACCTCCGGATTTCGCCGGCCGTGCAAATTCTGAATTGCGAATAAAGGCTCCAGGAAGAATAAAATAAAGAAAAAGTGGTTTATAATTACAGTATGAATGTAATTCCTAATTATTGGCTTATTTCTCTTTTAAATAAATCAAATTGACCTTTTGTTGGCTCATTTCCAGCCACGAAACAGTCTTGAAAACGAACATCCGGGTACTTGGCGAGCAGCTCTCGAGTCAAGCCGATGTACTTATTTCTGCAGCAGAAAAATGTGAATTATCAAAAAGTTATTTTAAATAACCTTTTAATGACTTTTTAATAACTTCTTTTAAATACTTTTAAGTACTTTTAAATGACATTCAAGTCCTCCATATACTTGGCCATTTCGCTGAAAGAAAGCGCCCTAAAAACTTAGATAATTCCTATTAAAAATTAAATATAGTAAATTAAATTAAATTAAATTAAATTAAATTAAATTAAATTAAATTAATTATAAACAAACTGAACAGCTTTTCTTATTCAGCACTGGCACTGCAGCAGCAAACTACCAGAGCTCCGCAGCAAAACAGCCTGCTGCTGCTGCAACGCAGCAGCACCTCGCTGCAGCACGCTGCTGCTTCTTGCTTGCTACTGCTGCTACTGCTGCTACCCCTACTCCTACTCCTACTGTCGCTGCTGCTGCTGCTGCTGCTTGCTGCAGCTGCTGCTTGCTTGCTGCTGCTCTCTTCTCCTGCTGCTTGCTGCTACAGCTGCCACTCCCCCTCCCCCTCCCCCCGCCCTCCCCCTCCCACTGCTGCTGCTGCTGCTGCTGCTGCTGCAGTGCATTTTAGTGGAAGATAGATGAGTGTTCAAGCAGCAGCAGAAAGGGAATGTGGTCTCTGTCGCTAACAGCAGCAGGAAATGCAAAAAGAAAGCAAATGCAACAAGTGCCATTCTTTTCAATGAGTTGCACATACACATAGACACACACATATATAATATAAAATAATAACAATAATAAATATATATATATGTTATGTATAATATATATATATAGAGAGAGAGAGATAGATAGATAGATAGATAGATAGATTTATACATAGATACACACATATATAAATATATGAGCAGCAGCACCTTTGCATTTGGAGATTACTGGGAGCAGCAAAAGACAAAAAAGGGAAAAGTTGGAGAAGAGAAAAAATTCAAAATGGGAAAGTGCTGGAGAAGAAGTCTTACGTGAATGGCGCCCTTCGGCATGCTGTTGAACGTTGAATTGTGATTTCGAGATTGAAAAGAGCTTTATTTTCGTTGAATTGATTTCAAAATTGAAAAACTGTTTTCTTTTGTTGAATTATTTCCAAAATTGGAAAAAAAGTTTCCCTTCTTTCGTCTTTTGCTGCTGCTTTCTTGGCTTGTTCAGATCCCGCCTTCTCGGTCGGCAGCTCCGCTGCTGTCTGCTGCTTCTTCCGGAAAAGAGGGGAAAGAAGAAAATAAAAAGAATAAAAGTGGAAATAAATAAATAATTCAAAGTTTAAAGACTTGGTTCTTAATTTCGACGGCTAAAAACAGAAATGCAAACTTCCGTTTCAGGGTCTTCTGTTTGCTCCGTTGTGCAACTTTCGGGTGTACGTCCACCTCGACGCAAGTCGTTCAACTCAAAGACTTTACACTCTTTGCATGCATTTTATTTTATTTTAAAAATTAGAAACTATTTTGAACTGCTTTTACCCTTCAAATCTGATCTTAACTGGCAGCCCCGGGTCCCCCAGCCCAGCCAGCCCCGAGCTTCTCTTGCAGCAGCAGCCACTTGAGATTTAATTCAATGTTTTGAATTTTTTGTCGAAAATTAAAAATAAAAAACTTATTTTATTCTAAAACATAAATATTAGAGTAATTGAATGAAATATTTGGGCTTAAGTTCCCCGGATCTTCTTATCCAGGCACGTGAGCACTTCCTTAAATTTTCTTTTCTTCTCTTTTCCACAAGTCCCTGTGTCGATCTCGGGAGACTTTTTCCCAATTAAAAGTAAATTAAATGTTACAAATAAGGAGTTCTTGAAATGCACATTCCACACTGCATAAATGCAAAACAAATACAATTTCAATTACGAATAATATTAAAAAGTTATTTAGATATCCTTAAGGAGGCCTCTGGAGGCTCCTCCCCTCGCTGCAGCTCCCTAAGCAAATGCTGCCAATATATACATATATATATATATACATCTACGTGTATATACTGCATTTATATAATATGTAATGATAAATTAATACATTCTGAGCAATTATTATAAAATAGTAGTTTAATTATTATTAAATAATATAATCCCAACTATTGGCTGCGCTGCTGCAGCAGCAAATAGCTGCGGCTGATCTTTGTGTCGCTTCGCAGCATTCCCCCTTTTCTAATTAAATTAAAAGAACTCTGAAGATATTCTTTTTAAATGAATTAACTAATAATAAATAATAACAATAACAATAATAATAATAATAAACAATAATAATTGTGGGGAGGAAGTGCTCTTGTAGACATCGGGCTCGGCGATGACGAACCAGGACTGAAAAGGCGCAAATTTTGGACAAAAAGAAACAAAAAAGGAATAAAAAGAAACAAAAAACAAACACAAATCAAATATAAACTCCGAAACTCCCAAACGGTGAGTTGCAGACACTTGGTGACTTGAATTCGCCCGCGACGCAGTCTGAAACTCCTGCAGCCAGATGCGGCCGGCTGGGCGTTTGCCACTGGCAAACAGCGCCACAAAAACCTTTTGCAGAGTCTTTGGGACGAATTAAAAAGCTACATCGGGAAAAAAAGAAGAAAGAGAGGGATTTAAGGGGGAGATCGGGGAGGTTTCGGCGGAGGCGCACCTGCTTGGCCTTGCGGATTACCACCTTGACAATGTCGGGCATGGGCTTCATTCCCAAACGCAAAATGGCTTTTCTGGCTTTTCTTTCGTTGCGAGATTGGCGAGAACGCGAAGGAGAGCCTTCGCCCTCCTTTTGTTCTTGCTGGGCGCCCTCGCCTTTCTGTTCATCTTCGGAGCCGCTGTCCGAAGACGAAGAGGAAATGTGCTCCGGCTCTTCCGCCTTCTTGTTCGCCATTTCCGCTGCTAAAACAAAAAAGCCACTTCAAACCCTCCCAAATCCTCAACAAAAAACCTGAACTCCGCTTCCCCCCCCCACAGGCGCCCGGCCGACGTGGGGCTGCGGCGCAGCCACCAGCAGCCCTCGCAGCCGGCGATTTTGCGAAATCCACCGCTGATCTTCGTTTCTTTCGCTTCACAATTCAAGTAATTGCAGTTTTAAATGCAATAATGCATCAGATCGCTTTCAAAGTGCCCCTACACTGCCCCTCTGCGCCGCCTCTGCAGCCCTCCCCACAGCCAGGCGATCGCAGCGGAACGCAGTCTTCGTGTGCTGCAGCATAAATTTCGTTTGCACACATTTGTGAGCAGCAGACAGCACATGAGCTTCTTAAACTTTATAAACTCTGTTTAAAACAGCTTTAAATGGTTTAGCTCGATTTCCCAGTAGCCACTTGTGCTCGGCGTCGCTGGAGTGCCCGTGCAACTTCTGCGTAGAACCTCGGCACTTCCCGCCTTATAGCCTTACATCCACACAACTAATAACGGAAAATAGAAGAAGCTCTTCGCAATAAAATAAGAAGAGAACCAATAAAGTAAAAGATTTGAAATTCTGCGCAGTATAGTGTGCCAGGATGGCGCAGCGCCTCCGTACCGGCGCCCTCGGTCTTCACCGTTTTCACTGAATTAACCGGACTTATTGCCCCTCAACTAGTTGAATTCATTGGCACTCAACTAACTGAAGTTATTTCAACTCAACTAAATGAACTTATTGCGCGTTTTGACGGCGATCTTTGTCTGTTTTGCGAGGTATTTCGGTTCAAAGTGTTTCATTGTGGAAACTTAAAGGGCGGCTGCTGCTGCAGTGCTCAGGGCCAGCTGCGCCGCGGCTGCGGGCCAGTTCGCGGGAAACTGGACCCTAAATAGAAAGAAGTTTCATTTTTGTTTACTTTGAAGACAGAGCAGCCACTCCGGGGAGCTCCTTGCCCTCCAGGAGCTCCAGAGAGGCCCCCCCTCCCGTGGAAACGTGGCTCATCTTGGGAGCCATGCCGCACTTCTCCACCAAAGAGGCTGTGTCGCCTCCCCCCACTATTGAAGTTGCTCCTGCTGCTGTTGCTGCAGCAACAGCCTCGGCAAAGGCTGTGGAGCCCTTTGCAAACGCGGGCATTTCGAAAACGCCCGGCGGGCCGTTCCACACGATCGTCTTCGCCCGGCTTATCATCTGAACGAAGCAACAAGCTGCTCCTCGCTTGCATGTGCCCCAAACAAATATTGTAAAGGACTTATTTAATTAAAATAAACAAGTAAAAAACTCATTTGCAGCTCCACGCGCCCGCAAATAGACCCCCCGTTCAGCTTTCCACACAGGTTCAACTTGAACATGAACACCACCACAGCAGCAGCGAACCCAACAGCAGCAGCAGCGAAACCAACAGCAGCAGCAGCAGCGACACCAACAGCAGCAGCAGCAGCATTTATCTCACAGCCTTGGCGAGTTCCACGGTCTTGGGCCCCACATCGAGCCCCATCCAGCCGTCAGGCACTCCCGCTTTGTCTTCGCAGATTTGCGTGTTGGCATCAGCAGCAAATTTGTCGCCGCAGACGAAGTCGACGGGCAAAAGGACTTCGACGTTTTTGGCCTTCGCCTCCTGCATGATTTCGGCCACGATCTTGGCCCCGTCTTCGTCGAACAAGGAGTTCCCGATCTTCATGTTCTCCAGAACTTTCTTGAAAGTAAACGCCATTCCGCCGCCGATTATCATCAGATCCACTCTAAACGCAGCAGCAGCAAACCAGAAAATGCAAAACTTTGAAAATGCTTGACAATATTCCGAGCTTTTCCACGGAAAGGCAAAGATCGCCGCATTGGGGATGCAGAAAGCTGAAATGAAGGTGCCGCTTCAAATTCACAAGAATCAAACAATAAATAATACACAATAATAGTAAGAATAATAAGTGGCAAATGATTAGTAACAAATATACTCGAATATAAATGGAAAATGAAACATGTTTCTGCACATTTGACGCTGCGTCGAAAAAAGGCGAAGACAGGAGGAAAAAAGACAATTTCAAACGGAAAAACAAACACCATTATTATTGGAAGTAAAAGGGAGGTATTGAACCCAAGATATAAAGAAATAAAGTGCATTTTCACGAAAGAAAAGCGGAAAATCAATATTCAAGTTGCGAGGGAACCGGAGCAAAAACGCGAAGAAAGCATCCCTAGAAGCAGCAGAAGACAAACATCGCTAAAAAGAACCAGAAAAGTGTGAATGTGCGTTCGAAGAGCAATTTGAAAGCGAAGAAAGCGCGACGTTCAACTTGCTGCTGCTGCTGCTGCTGGTGCTGCTGCGGACTTGCTGAGGAGGTTCTTGATGAGCTGGATCTTGTCCTTGACCTTGGCGCCGCCCAGAATGGCCAGAAATGGCTTTTGCGGGTTTTCCAGAGCTTTTGAAAAGTAATCCAACTCTTTTTTCATCAAAAGTCCCGCAGCTTTCACCGGCAAGTTCACCCCCACCATCGACGCGTGCGCGCGGTGCGCAGTGCCGAACGCGTCGTTCACGAAAATGTCGCCGAGTCTGCAGCAACAAATTCAATTCTTTTCTTCTTTAACATTCAAAGTCGCTGCCAAACGGCTCCTCGCAGCAGCAAAGCCGCAGCAGCAGCAGCAGCAGCATGTGCAGCAGCAGCATGTGCAGCAGCAGCAGCAGGATGTGCAGCAGCAGCAGGATGTGCAGCAGCAGCAGCAGGACGTGCAGCAGCAGCAGCAGCAGCAGGAGGAGCGGACTTGGTGAGGCTGTTGCGGAAGGCCTCGACTTGTTTGGAGTCTGCTTTGACTTTATTTCCATTTGCGTCTTCTCCCTTCCCTTCTTCTTCGAGGTGAAAGCGGAGGTTTTCGAGCAGCAGCACTTCTCCATTTTGCGCATTTGCTGCTGCTGCTTCGGCCTGGGGCCCCACGCAGTCCTCGACGAAAGACACCTTGCTGCTGACCTGCTGCTGCTGCAGCAGCTGCTGCAGCACCGGCACCACCGGCCTCAGGCTGTACTGCTGCTGCACCCGCCCGTCCGGCCGCCCGCAGTGCGACAGCAGCAGCACCGCCCGCGCCCCGTGCTGCAGCGCGAACTTTATTGTCGGAATTGTTGCAGCAATTCGAGTTGCGTCAGCAACTTTCCCGTCTTTGAGCGGCACGTTGAAGTCCACGCGCATCAGCACCCGCTTCCCCTTCAGCTGCGCAGCAGCAGCAGCAAAACGAACCCCCCCACGCCCGCTCACGCAGCAGCAAACCTCCGGCGCCAGCAGCAGCAGCAGCAGCAGCAGCAGCAGGCCCGCGACGGAGGGGAGACGCGGAAGACACGCAAGCGCGGCAGACACTGCTGCAGACTTGCAGACAGCCGCCGAGGCGGCGGCGCGAGCGCGCGGCGCTCGGGAACTCGGAGCAACGGAGCTCCGTTTGAAATGGCATTAAAGCAAATTGAGACATTTTAAATAAAAGAAATAAAAAAGAGAGAAAAAGAAAGAGAGGAAGTCGAGAAGAGGCGCCGCTGCAGGGCGGCGGCGGCGCCAGTGGGGAACAGAATCCGTGCACACAAACTGCGTGCAGAACCGGCGCTTTCTCGGGGAAAAAGAGTCCGGTTCCCGGAAAAAAAGAGCTTTTTTAGAAGCAAATTTAATGGGGAATAAATCAAGACAAAAACAAACAGAAACGAGACAGAAAGGCCCCACGGGCGTCAAAAGTTGAACTGGTCCAACGCGCCGCGGGCGCAGCAGCAGCAGCAGCAGCAACAGCAGCAGCAGCAGCGCGATGTGTGTATTTTGGAAAGTGAAGAAATGCAGAAAGAAAGAAGGAAAGCCCCAATGATCTCAAATGGCTCTCTTTCTTCTTCCGCCTCAGCAGCGGCTGAGCCCCCTCAAGAGCTTTGCTGCTGCTTCGCTGCAGCGCCGCAGCGCACATGCAGCAGCTGCAGCGAACGCCCAGCTGCAGCAGCAGCAGCTGCAGCAGCAGCAGCAGCAGCAGCAGCAGCTGACAGGTAACTTGCACGCAGCTGCACACCGGAGGGACTCTTTTGCGGCCGTTAGCTTCAGGTGTCGCCTCGTCTCGCAGCACAGACAATGGGTGCAGCAGCAGCTTCCGCCAAAGCTGCTGCTGCAGCAGCAGCAGCAGCAGCTTCAGCAGCAGCAGCTACTAGGGTACTGCAGTAGGCGCTGGCAGCTCTTCGGGGGGCTGCAGCAGCCTCTTTGGCCGCTGCTGCAGTGCAGCAGCAGAGCCAACTCATATAGGGAGCATCTTTGGGCTGACGCAGTGAGATATAGCAGCAGCAGCAGCAGCAGCAGCGGGAGCAGCAGCAGCAGCAGCAGCGGGAGCAGTCCGAACAGCAGCTCAACCGGGAGAAGCTCCGAAAGAAGCCGAGCTGCTGCAAGCAACAGCAGCCACAGCAGCAGCAAAAGCAGCAGCAGCAGCAAAAGCAGCAGCAGCAGCAGCACAATGCGTCGGCTGCTGTCTGCAATGGCCCTGAGAAGTTCTCCCCACTTTGTGGGCATGCGGCGGCAGCAGCAGCAGCTGCAGCAGCTGTGGCTGCGGGAGCTGCAGCGGCAGCAGCAAAACTTGTCTTCTTCGAATTCCCTTAGAAGACACTGGGGGGCCCTGAAGCTGCTGCTGCAGCAGCTGCTGCAGCAGCTGCGGCTGCTGCTGGGGGCCCCCGGGAGGCAGCAGCTGCAGCAGCAGCAGCAGCAGCTGCAGCAGCAGCTGAAGCAGCAGTTCAGCAGCCGGAAGCAGCTGCTGCAGCAAAAGGGCAAGAGACTGCAGCAGAAGCAGCAGCAAGCTGTAGACAGACTCAGGCAGCGGCTGCGGCTGCAGCAGCAGCAGCTGGGGCGGCAGCTGCAGCAGCAGCAAACGGCGCTGCAGGCCCGGCGCCTCATTTGGCTAGAAAGGCAGCACAGAAACCTTGCTGCTGCTGTGCTGCTGCTGCAGCAGCAAAGGGCCCACCTCGGAGCAGCGACCGCTGGTGTCCGTCCTGCTGCTGCTGCTGCCGCTGCTGCTGCAGCTGCTGCCTCCTTTGTCTCCTTGTCTTCTTTTGTTTGTCTTTGCTTCCTTTTGCCTTTTTCTTTTTGTCTCTGGCTGCTGCTGCTGCTCCTGCTGCTGCTGCTGCCGTTGCTGCTGCTGCCGCTGCTGCTCTTGCTGCTGCTGCTGCTGCTGAGGGCTGTTTTGCTTCGCTGCTTCTCCTCAGGCCAAAGAGAAGCTGAAGGGCCTTTGGCGGCGCTACGGCTGGACCGCCGTCGCCTCCTATGGCATGTAAGCAGCTAGCCAACAGCTAGCTAGCTAGCTAGCCAACAGCTAGCTAGCTGGCTAGCC